CATCATAGGAAGAAGTCATCATTTTCATTTAAACAAGCTATGTCTGCCTTGTTCAAAAGATAAAATTAAAATAAGTATTCCATTAAATGCACATAACTTGGAAATAAAAAGCATGAAAATTTCATTTCTGCGCAGTTAATAATAAAATCACAATCTTAAATAAAGGGATTAAAAGTATAACAGCACATCCCAATATCAATTTTTGTTGATTATAAAAGCAATATTTATACATAAGGGATGTACTTTTACAAAAACAAACGTAAATTCAGTATAAACATGTTAGTCTAATCACTTTTTTGCCATAACCAATATTTAAGAAGATATGACCGGTATGCCATTATAGGCGCTATGCCATCATAGGCGCCTTTCCTCTCTCTCTCTCTCTCTCTCTCTCTCTCTCTCTCTCTCTCTCTATATATATATATATATATATATATATATATATATATATAATATATATATATATATATATATATATATATATATATATATATATATATATATATATATATGTATACGTATTAGTGCTTACATATATCTTTGCGAGAGTGCTCAATGAATTAAAGTAATTTAAAATGATTTAAATTAAAACAGAGCTTGCAATTGTAAACTAAGCTAAATCTACCCTATGAATGGAAATTGCAGAAAAACAAATGTAATTTATAAGTGCATTGCATCATTCCCAAACACATCCGACAAAACATACATTGGTTCAACAGAGGGCATGTGGAAAACTAGATAGGCGAACCACAAGCAATCCTTCAAAAATAAAAAACTCACAAATGCAACCACGCTTTCTAAATATATATGGGATACACTAAATAAAACAAAAACAACACCCAATTTAAAATGGTCCATCATAAAATATGCCCCCGCGTACAACAACATAACCAAAAAATGATTGTTATGCTTATACGAAAAACTAATTTTATTGTATAAAAGTCCTCAAGAATTATTAAACAAAAAAACGAACTAATATCTAAATGTTGCTGGACAACCACAAACCAAAAGATTAGATTTTTTAACTCATTTTCTTTTGTACAGATTTATTATTTTTACAAGAAAAAAAACATATTTACACCTGATGATTGCATTTAGCATGAAACTAGTAGTTGTGAAAAATATGCAGTTTTATTTATAAATAATATATGTAAATACAGCTCTGTTTTAATTTAAATCATTTTAATTTACTTTAATTCATCAAGCGCTCTCGCAAAGATATATGCAAGCACTAATACGTATACATATATATAAAACGCTTCTGACAAAAAGTTGGTTGAGCACTTTTTTGCATCAATCTCACACAATGGAAAAAATAAATTTTAACTACTCGTTGAAAAGTATTCCTGTACCAGAGAAAACTAGTTATAAGTTACACCTAGTCGAAAAGATAGAAAACTTTATCAAACGAATGCGCTAGAAAACATTTTTACAACAACAAAAATAACAAAGCGACAGAAACAGCTGAAACTTTCGGATTTAAAACAAACAAAACACCACCACAATGCAAAGAACTTGAGCACATTGAAGCCGAATTATTTGCTTTAGTAAAATCAATAAAATTTAAAAAAGTTTCCACCGAATTCCAAAAAAAACTAAAGAATGACATATCGAACATAAAATCAAATCCCAATATCTTGATATTTGCAGACAAAACTAGCAATACTTATGAACTACCTTCCAAAGACCACACTAAACTTCTGAAAGAAAATATCACTAAATCATATAAAAAAGCACCATTAAAACTTGAAAACGCAATAAACCTTGAAGCAAAAAGCATAGCAAAAACAATAAATATATCTAACAAATCTAAAATAATCGCCAAATCAGAAGCGTTCATCACTCTGAAGGACCATAAAATCAATTTTCAAAACATAAAACCCTGCCGCCTAATAAATCCAGCAAAGAGCAAACTTGGCATTGTAAGCAAAACCTATTTAGACAAGATTAATAAACACATAAAAAATACATTAAAATTAAACCAGTGGAAAAATACTGCTGAAGTCATCAAATGGTTCAAAAGCATAAAAGAAAAGAAACACTGCACTTTTATCCAACTCGACATCACTGAAGTTTACCCATCCATCACACCCACACCCATCCATCACACCCACACCCATCCATCACACCCACACCCATCCATCACACCCACACCCATCCATCACACCCACAATTCTAAAAAATGCTCTAACGTTTGCAAAACAACTTATAAAATTAGCGAAAAAGAAATTTGAACAATTATCCATTGCAGAAAGTCTTCCCAACGGGCATTTGATGGTTTAAAATTGGTTTAGATCACGTTTAGATGGCATTTACGTCGATCTAAACGTTTAGGAATCTATTCTAAACGTGTTCTGAATATTTAATTTGCGTTTAGATGACATTTACGTCGTTCTAAACGATTCTAATCAATTCTAAATGAGTTCTGAATATTTAGTTAGCGTTTAAGCGCTAAATCCGTTACTTCGATTAGCCCAGAAGGGATTTTGCACAAAATAAAACGGACATTTTGGATCTTTCATTATTGTTTAAAAATTTGAATTTCATATGAATATTAAATTATGTAGATAGTAGTTTAGAAAACTTAAAAGAAATTTGAGTAAACAAAAATTGAGTTAACAGATGTTTTAGGAGGATTAACTTTTTGATAATGACCTTTAGACATGCTTGTTTGTATATTAAAACATGCTTGTTAACATATTTAAAATCGTTATTTAGTCTGATTTTATAATGGCATAAAAAACTATACTTAGACTGTTATTAAAATAGACTGTTAGTCTATAATAATTCGCATAAATATCACAAAAATTTGAAAAAAGGTTTAGTTATGAAAGTTATTAAGATTGGTATTATTTAATTAAATTGAAGCAGTTTGTATTACAGAAAAAAGTGGTTTTACAAGATTTGAAATAGTTTGTATCAAACCAAGAAGTAGTTAAAAGATTGAAAAAGAGGTAAAATACAGATAAATTAATAAGTTTCTTATTATAATTCTTATAGAATGTTATTCACATAATAGGTACTTGACTTGTAGGCTACATGAATATAAAAATATAAATATAGATTAAATCAAAATCAAAAAAGATTACAAAATCCTAATTAAAAAAAAAATGCATTTATAGCCCTTATTCTCTCAAGTACTTGAGACATTGTCAATGTAGTGCAAATAAATATTAAGTGTAAATCTCAACTACTTGAGAGAATAAGGGCTATAAATGCATTTTTTTTAGAATTACGATTTTGTAATCTTTTTTGATTTTGATTCAATCTATATTTATATTTTTTTATTGTATTTATTTTATTTTACATTCGTCCTTTTTTTTAAAAAGAAAAAGACTTTTAAAATAGAAGTGACTTGTTAAAAGTTAAAACAAATCATTATAAGTCTTTCAATTTTTAAGTAAAAGAAATGTAATAAAGTGTAAATTACACTGTGATTTACACACATACACACATACATGCATATACATCCTGATATAACTACACAAACAGATATATATATATATATATATATATATATATATATATATATATATATATATATATATATATATATATATATATATATATATATATATATACATATATATATATATATATATATATATATATATATATATATATATATATATATATATATATATATATATATATATATATATAATATATATATATATATATATATATATATATATATATATATATATATGCATACATACATACATACATACATACAAATATTTTCATTTTAATAATTCTTTATGTAACGCTTTATCTACGTAACAATACTAGTTTTCGTATTTAAAAAATTTTACTACTTCTTTTTCTTGGACACACAGAACCCGTTGTGAAATTATTTGAATCTTACCACTGATGTTTATATATATATATATATATATATATATATATATATATATATATATATATATATATATATATATATATATTTATATATATATATATATATATATATATATATATATATATATATATATATATATATATATATATATATATATATATATATATACAGGGCCTATTCTGAGAAAAAATTTGGGCAGCGGTTAATGCCTCTTCTTCATTCAAAAGAGTGCTAAATTATTTTACTAATAATACTATTATGGTTAACTTAATCAAAGGCAACAGAAAATTATCCATCGAACAATTGAAATAATTTTAGTCTTGAGTTAAATTAAAGTTGATAAATACATATTCAAAAACATTTCTTTTTATATTTATCTCCCTCTAATATAGTTTTAAATATGTTTTTATATCTATATGTTTAATATGTTTAAATATGCTAATATGCCTAATGTGATTTTTAATTTAAGGAAGATATTTCATAGTATACTAGGTTAGCACTATGAGTGAAAAAAGCTATATATTTTTTAGCCTTCGTAGTTAATCAAAGAGTTATTATAGCTTCTTTTTTTATTAATATTTTCATTTGGTGTAATTTATTGTAAATTTATTTTAGGTATAATAAGTTGTGATTTTATTTTCCTATGTTTTAACTTTTTAATTTTTTTTTAATTTTTGTTTCGATTTTGTTTACTTTTAATGTAAATCTAAATAATTTTAGATATTAATCTTAAAATTTTAAAGAGTAATTAATATAGAAATTTTCATAACCATCTCCTCTGATAATAACTTCTATTGGTGTCTTGTTTAGCTGAAACAAGTGATAATAACAATAATTAAACTACTATTTATATGTATTAGTAAAATAATATTTATGTATTTGTAAACGACTAAACTTATATTAAACACTTTTAAACAAGTTTAGTTACAAGTTTATGTTATGTGTTGATGTACCTTACAATAAAAAGAGTATTAACATTTTAGTAAAATGTCATATCACCGGGCTGTTTGGTTGGAAGAAAATCGTGAGGAAGAAGGAGTCTTGCCATCCGCATGGGTGCGGGGAAAAGTAGTTATGTGGCCCCCATCCAAAATGAATGCGTTTAAATTAATGAATGAAGGAGTAGAACCTAATGAAAATTGGCGACTTTTTAAACTAATAAAAATAAAAATTACTTCAGGTTTTGTGTTTATTTTTTGACAACAGCTTCATAATTTACATTCGCAAAATGTTAAAGAATTTAGTCATTACTTGTTAAAAGAATTTATTTGTCAATAACTTCTTTGGATAAATTAAATGTTTTCTTATTTCTTTTACAGATTGCTACGAGGATTGTAATAATTATGATTTAACTACAGAAACTGAAGAAGATAATCAGCAAGTTTCAAAAAAGCGCAAGCGTACTGCTTGTACAACTTTTTTTGAAGGTTTTACTTTAATTTGTTAATACTCATATAAATAGTAAATAGAATATATAAACTGAAAATAATAACATATGTGAAATATACAAAAACTGACAAATAATATATAAAATATAATATTTAAAACTTATTATCAATCTATAATTTTGCATTATTTTAATCAAAATTGAAGTTATTTATTTGGATATAAAACCACTACACTTATTCGGATGTAATACAGCTCTAGTAAAACACTTTGTTTTTTTCAGGCGAGGAAGAAGTTGATGTTGATATTAATACAGAAAGTAAGAATATATATTTTTTATGTTAATTCACCTCCCTAAAGGCTGAGATGACCACTACAATCGAAGAGGCTACTTGTAGTTTCAAGCCTCTCTCAACTTCATAACTCTGAAACACAAGCCTTGACGAACAAGGCTGCTGCGTGAAGAAACAAGTTCATTAATTAGTAATTTTATGAAGAGTAGAGCAGGAGCTAATAATAGCCTACATAATAATAGTAATAATAGTGTTATGTGTATGTATTTTGTAATAAAACAGTTATTAAAAATAATTTTTTACACTTGCTGTAATTGTATTTTATTTTTAAAATAGTAAAACTATCTACATTTCCACAGCCACCTGCTAAATTAGGCAAAGTGTTACCATCAAATATTTCACTATATAAAAAGGTTGTGGATGTGGTACCACAAGGATATAAAAGTGATCATGCAAGTAAGTTGTTGTACTTTATATCTTTGAATACTAATAATAATTGTAATGGTTATATCTCAAAAGTATACCCTGAGATTTACATTGTAGCTAAACTATCACCAATTCCACAGTCACCTGGTCTTTCAAGCTGTTATTCTAAGATACCTTCATTCAAATCAAGCATGGTGACTATACCAAAATAAAATAAAATGAATCAATCAAGTAAGATGTCTAAATTTATATCTTTGATATAGACCACCTTCGCTTTTAAATAATCTTCAGATTTAGACCTACTAACTTTTACGACTTATGAACATATTTAGTCCTTTATCCTTTTAAGGATAAACTTTTTTAAATCAAATTTAGGAAAATTTAGTAAATTTTCATTGAAAACAACTTTGCATAAATAATGTAACTATATAGTTATTTACATTATAGCTAACCAATCAGCACTTTCTCCTTTTCTGTTACCCCGAAAATTTGATTCTAAAATACCAATATTCAGACAGAGAGCTGCCACATCAAAAGACAATGTAATAGATCGATCAAGTAATACTTAATTTTTAACTTAAGTGTAATATCTAAGGGATTTGGTAAATATTAGAGATATCTAGAATTAACTGTAATAATGATATTAGTTATTGTTTATTTATAGTATAATGTTGTATAGTATATGGGGTCTGATTTACATATATACTGCAAAAATTTAATGACGTTTCTAAATAAGTTTTGATTTACAACGCCCAATGTAATTGTATAATTATTTATATTGTAGTGAAACTATCAGCATTAAATAGAAAGTTTCAAGCAAACATGATACTGAGTGAGCCAACTGCTCCTCAAGAAAATGAAATCGATAATGGGAGTAAGTTATCAAACCTTATTTATATATTATTTAATAATATATTTTTTAATTCGACTGTTTTTTTTTTTTTTACTGTAGATAAGGCAGTTGCTTTGCAATTGTGCTATCTATTATTAACCTATCACTGTGAACAGTTATAACGAAATTTGTGTAGTTTTTTTAATGAGGTTTTTATATAAATGTTATATATTTTACAGAGTTTCAGAGAAAAGTTCTTTATCAGTTATCAAATATGGCTAACGAAATTAAAGATTTACGAATAGCAGTGGAAATGATGGCCGTACCAAGTTTAGAGACTGTTGCTGAGGTCCATCTAGAAGTTATAGCTGGAGCTATTGGGACCTTGAATGGATACAGAAAATTAGAGGAGCAATGTAGAGTTCTTGCTAATCGAACAATTTTAGTAAGTGTATAGCTAATTGTTTTTATCCTCTTTCCCAGAAAGGTTTTTAACGTCTATATAATGTTTGTTTTGATGTCAGAAAATATGTTTTGCTTTCATTGAGGTGGCAAGACTTTTGTTTTTGTATTAATTAGAATCCCATGTGTAATGAAAAGTAGCACTTATAAATAATTTCTTTGTAGCTTCGCCTTCTTTCACGAATCGGAGGGTCATCCATTAAAGATACTTCTAAGAATCTATTGAAAAGACTTTTTACAAATTTTGTTATGTCTCATTTGAGTATGGATGGTAAAGGTTCTCTTAAAAAGCTTCCGTTTAGAGACTCTGCTCTGTGTCAACTTGTTGTTGGTAAAATATTATTTTTATATTTTTTGTAATTGAAATTAAATTCAAACTCAGGTTATAATTCAAATCTACTCGGTACACACTACGAATTTATAAAATTGTATATAAATAATTTATATGAATTGAATAAATAATTTATATGAATTGAATGAAGATGTTTATTGATTTTTTTAAATTATTTTTAGAGTGTGTATTGAAACGATACTCTACGTCTTCTTTGTCCGAAATACATTCGTGCATTGGTTCTCATCTTAGAATGGCTCCGTTTCGTTTAGGTGGCACTGGGAAAGGTGGCGCCCATTTTTCCAATTCTCAAGATGGAGAGGCTGGCTTGAACGATTCAAGCAAAGATGATGCTTATTGTCATGAAAGCGATCATGATAATGATAAATACGATAATTCATATTATAATAATTAAAATTAGTGTAAATATGTTTAAGACTTGCATGTATGAAAAAAAATATCTGTATGTTTGATTCGTTTATGAGTATTTGTTTTTATTTTATGAGTAGTTACGCGTTCAACGTTTGGCTTTTCTTTACGGCGCTTATTTAAAGAAGCATATAAATTAAACGTAAATTTATAAAATTTAGACGACGTTTAAAACGAAAGATTTAGATGGAGTTTAAATAGCATTTAAAACGAACCATTTAGATTCGGTTTAAATGGAACATTCGATTGACCTACGTTCTAAATCAAAACTAAATTAAATCTAAACATTTAGAACGAACATTACTTAAACGTTGATTAAATGTTCGTATGCCCGTCGGGTTTGTTATTTTTCAACAACGAAACTTGGAAAAAAAAGTAACGACTGCTTCGACGTCACAATGGGTTGTTACGATGGAGCCAAGGTTTGCGAGCTGGTTGGCTTGTATATATTATATTCATTATCTGAAACTGTTACCAACAGCGATATGGGTCTTAACCGGGACGACGGACTGATAATAATGCGTCAAAAATCTGCCGCACAGATAGATAGAATCCGAAAAAATATTATAAAAATTTAAAAAAAAGTCGGCTTCTAAATAGAAATTACGACAAACCTAACAATCGCTAACTTCTTAGACGTTACATTTAACCTTGAAAAAGGCTCATACCATCCTTTCAAAAAACCAAATAGCAACCTACCCAGCCGGCAAATAACGTTGAAATAACGTTGAAATATCGTTGAGACCTAACGTTGAATTAACGTTGGTTTAACGTTTAGAATGAAAGTTTTTTTCAACGTTGATTTATCAACGTTAAATCAACGTTAGGTTCAAACGTTATATCAACGTTGATTCGACGCGAAAAAACGTTACAATAACGTTGAATTTACGTTGATTTAACGTTTAGATTGAAAGTTTTTTTCAACGTTGATTTATCAACGTTAAATCAACGTTAGATTCAAACGTTATATCAACGTTGATTCGACGCGAAAAAACGTTACAACAACGTTGAATTTACGTTGATACAACGTTTAAAATGATAGTTTTTTTAACGTTGATTTATCAACGTTAAACAACTGTAAAACACTTTTTCACCATCAAAACGTGCTATGTATGTCAAAATGTATATATGTATGTAAACGTGCTATGTGCGTCAAAATATGATCACCATCAAAACGTACTATGCATGTACATTAGTGTTGCTGTACATTATCAAGGTATATTATGGATATTAAATCTATTCATAGTCTATACTTAGACTATTTAGAACTTTTTCAGTTTAGTTTAGTTAAAATAGCTAGGTATGATTAAAGAAAGAGATAAAACTTGTTTTATTCAAAAATACATATTCAAATATTACATATATTTACATGTAATTAAATAAAATCTACACAAATTTCTTCTCTTTTCCACCACATTTTTGAAATAAAGCGTAATTTAGAAAGTCAAACAATATTCCATTAACCGAGGGTTCTTTTGGTCCATTGAATACAATATAAGAAACTGTAAATAAAAAAGGAAGATTTAAAAAATAAATAATCAATGGAAAAGTGTTACAACTTATGAAGGTATATCTTTTTCAACGCCATATAGATAAGTGTTCTTAAAACATATTTTTCCACCTTTGCCCTTCATATCCATGGAGGCCATATAACTTTTCGAAAATACTCTGAATTTTTAAAAAATAATATAACTGTTAGTTGGTTATTAATAACTTTTTCAAATATTTAATTTAAATAAAACAACCTTTTTAATATATTAAAAATAAATTAATAATCAAAATATAAAACATTTCTAGCATTGAAAAATAATTTTCTGGGTAGCCACATAAAATTTTTATAAGAAATTTTATGTGGCCATTTATTAATGGTTTAACGTCCATGTTTATACACTTATGGGGCTTGGACAGGGATCTAATAATGTCATTTGTCATGTTAAATAGCATGCATTTTCTAAAGCAATTTTTTACAATTCCATGCACTTTAAGGCGTTAACCAGTTTTGCAGACCGAGAATGGGTATTTTGAACATTATACATCCATCAAAAATTAAAAAAGGAAGAATTAATGAGGAGCTTTGATCAAATTTTTACCTCTTTAGAGGATAATGGAAGATTTTAGAAGTGGTTTTAAAAAAAGAGGACTTTAGAGGATTTTAGAGGAGCTGCAAACTTCCTGATTATAAATGAGGTAACTCCACCAATTAACTGTAATTGATTTATCTGTAAAAAGACATGAAGTAAATCTAATATTATGCTTGTGGAGATAAATTATATTGTGAAGAACCATCCAAACTACACAAGTGGAAAATTTGCATCCAAGTTTCCACTTGTGTGCAAATCTTGCATCCACTTGTCAACATTCTCGTTATCACATTTTTCTTTTGTAGTTGTGAACTTAAAATTTTCACAATACTGTTTGCTTTCTTTTAGAATTGAAATAGTTATACAAATAGTTATATAGTTTGTATCAACAAAATAACTCTTCTTACCACATTATTTAAAAAATAATAATTGTAATATATAGATGTAATACCTGAAGAGAATTTAGTTTTTATTTGTATAAACTTAAGTCAATTCTTCTCTGCATTTTAGTGCAGTCAATGCTTTGGTACCTGGAAGCCGACAAACAGTTTTATCACTAATCCAATCAGATGGAATTACTTCTTCTTGTAAATCTTCATTCCAAACAGCTCCTTTCCGCATATTCAATTTTGAAAAAATTACATGAACTAATATAAAATGAAGAAACCATAATATAAGTGTACTAACAGGCCTAATTAAACTAGCTAAATTTGAACATTTTATAACCATGATACTTGCTAAACAATAATATTAGTAGACATTATAAGCAAAGATAAGATTTTCTTTATTTTATAAATTTATTATATTTTAAACTCATTTTTATTAATTTATTTATTACTCTATTATTCAGCAGAGTTCTGAATATATTATGTTCAAATAACTTAAGGCTCAATAACAAAGACAAATAATTAAAGAATACTAGGTTGCTAAAACATAAACACCTGCATAAGATAATTATGGAATATTGAAAAAAAATAGAAATACAAAAAAACAAAAGTACTTATTATTAATATAAAATATAATAGTATAATATAAGGTATATTATAATATATGACACAATAATATCTACTTTTAATTAAAATATAAAAACAACAAAAATTAAAAAAGAAAATATTTTGATAAATAATAAATTATCATTCAAACAATTTTCAAGACCAAAAAATAACTTGTAACTTATTTTTTTTACTTATCTTTATCTAATAAACATTACTTATTTTTTACTCATCTTCATCTAACAAACATTAATATTAATACTAATTTTAAACATTATTAGAATTTTTTTTTATCATAAAAATAAAAATAAAACATCAGTTACTTTTGGGGCTTTTCCTATTTTACTTAAAATATCAACTCAATTCTAGTCTTTTTTCATAATTGAGTTTTAATTTGTAATGTTGAATTAACACTGAAAAAAAAATATTAGCAGACAAAAAGAAAAATTTCTTTATGGAAATATATGTAAATATTTCAATAAAGAAATTTTAGATTGATTTTTATAAAAATAAATTTATATCAATCAATCTAATTTTTTTTTTTTCCCGCCACCTTTTTGAAATGAAGCGCATTTTTAGAAGTTACACAAAATGCCATCAATTACAGTTTCAGTCGCTCCATCGTATTTGAAAAAAAAAAAACACAAGGAGAAATTTTTGAATATATAAAAAATGAGAATAAAAATTTTTTACACATCTTATAAAGGTATACCTTTCACTACACCATATAAATTAGTGCTCTTAAAGCATATTTCCACCTTTCCCCTTCATATTCATGGAGGTCACAAAATTGTTGGAAAATGTTCTAAATTTTAATAGATAAGAGAACTGATATTAATTATGCGAGAACTAATATTAATTTTTTTTTTAATTTAAATTGAACTCATTATCAAACAATTTTTTTGATAAATAATTTAATCCTTAAAATTCTTGAATAATTAAAAACTATTTTGATTACCTCAGAATTTTAAAGATATTCCATCAATTGCAATTGATTCACCTAAAAAAAACAACAAGTAAAGCTAATATTATTGTTTGAAATTTTAATTATCTTTATACAAATACTCATCATATTTTTAAAGTGACTGATAAAAATGGATTTAATTAAAATCACTTCATTTGTATTAAAAAATTCGCAGTGGATAGCCTACCGAAAGTCGGTAGCGGAAAAATAAAAATTATTCTACCGAAAGTTTTTTTTTATTGGTTAAGAAATACCACGTGTCTCAATAAGATAATTAAATAAATATATTTTTAAATTCTGAAATGTCATTCTTTAGTAGTGTATCGGAAATAAACTCGGCACCCCACGCATGCGTTCCGGGTAAATCCGTTCTTAGCAATACCTTTTACGTTTCGATTGTTTTTTTCCATGTTTTTTAGGTTTTATTACGCTTATTAATTGAATAAATTATTTAGGGATATACGCTGGGAATAGCACAATGCTATTCTGAGGAATGTCCATGCATTTCCTAATTTAGGGATAGGCGCAGTGAAGTGCACATACGTTTACTAATATAGGGATAGGCGCTGTGTAGTATACATGCATTGACTCAGGGTTTTGGTATGGGGTGGCAGTCATTTCTATTTATTTAATGGAAAATCCTATTTAATTTTTTACATTTTTTACGTTTTTATTTTTTAAAAATAATGTTAAATTTTCTTCATTTTACGGTATTACAAATATTGTTTATTTTGACATGTGATATTCTCAACCAATAAAAAAAAAAACTTTCGGTAGGATAATTTTTATTTTTCCGCTACCGACTTTCGGTAGGCTATCCACGGCGTAAAAAGTTAATATTAAAGCCTTAATCATACATTATACAAGAGTATTTTGTAATACAATCTAAATAGTTGTTGCGATATGTAATTTTTTTATCCGAAATTTAGCTTCTGTAAGCTTTAGAAATTTTTTAAAGAAATTATTAATGAATTTGGAGCTACGGGTACTTATGTTTTTATATTGTT